GTGCAGTGGTTAAAAATGCCAGATTGGGACTCAGGAGTTCTGGGTTTGAGTCCCCACTCATCCATGGATCTAACTGGATGACTTTGGGCCAGTCACAGACTCTCAGTCTAACCTACCTCAGAGGGCTATTGTTGTGAGGGGAAGAGAATTGTATAAGTTGCCTTGAGTTACTCATAAGGAAAAAAGGAGGATAGACATATATTAAATAAATTGCAGTGTTGGTTGATAGTGATTATTTAGAGCCATTCTAGTGAGATTCCAGACTTCTTTACAGGAAAGAAGCAACCTTGGTTGATGACTTATGCCGGGAATTAGACTGGAAGAGTACACTCTTGTTGATTTTCTGGATCTCTCAGTGATTTTGATACCACCAACCACGGTGTGCTTCTGAATTGCTTATTGGTTTGGGTTTATGAGACCCAGTATACAAGTGGTTCTAATCCTTCCTGGAGAAGCAGTTTCAGAAAATGACGCTTGGGGACTTTTTTCCACCACATGATCAGAACTGAGCCCAGGCGGAACTCTACTTGCCACTGGCTGCCATCCTGATGATTCCCTGCTGATAGTCACCATATGCTTGCAGTCTGTCAACCATGCCCTAATCCATCAGACAGTGCATTGATCTACCCCAAAGCTCATTAATTTCTCAACCAGGATATCATGCAGGACCTTGTCAAAGGCCCTGCTGAAATCCAGGTAAACCACATCCACTGCATCCCCTCCATCTAGCCGCCTTGAAACCGTGTCATAGAATTTTACAAGGTTCGTCTGGTAGGACATATTTTTGCGAAAGTCATACTGCATGGCTGCCAATGCCCTTTCCTTATCTAAGGTTTCTAGAGCTTTCCTTATTATTAGGAAAGCTCTATATTTTCCACTGTCTTTCCCAGAATGTAATGCCCCTTGTCCCCTCTGCTACCCTTTTTGAAGTTTGGGACCACTGACACCATCTTCCAATCCTCCAGTATCTCCTGATTTCCACGAGGCCTCAAAAATGAAGGTCAATGGATGTGGGAGTACCCCTGCCAATTCCTGAAGTACCCTCAGGTGTAACCCATCAGGTCCAGGTGCTTTTGTAATGTCCAGGGCCCTGAGGAGCTCCTCAACTTCTATGGGAGCGACTCCAGTCTGTGCCCCTAACCCCAACCCTCATCCAGCACATCTCTCCCAACCTGCTTTGGGGAAAATACAGTAGTAAAATAATCCTTTAACCTCTGTGCCTGTTCCGCTACATCAGTCACCAGATGCCCTCCCTCTCTTATAAGGGGCCCCACTGCCTGTCTCCACTTCCTCTTACTATTTACATGAAAATGGAAGCCCTTTTTGTTGCTCTTGACATTCTTCACAAGTCTCAGCTCATAATCAGCTTTAGCCTTCTGAAGAATCCTTCTGCATAGAGCCACCTCTTCCTGGTATTCCCTTTTGTCCACTCGACCCAGTGTCCATTTCCTGTGGAGGTCCTTTTTTCTTCTAATCCCACCTACCACCTCTCTTCTCATCCACGTTGGTGCCCTCCTATGGCTCCTCACTTTGCTAATCAGCAGTATCCTTAAACCTTGCGCCTCCAAGACCTCCCTTTTCAGTGCCATCCACTCCTCTGTAACAAGCCTGTACCCCAAAAAAGCCAGTCTCTAGCCCTTTAAGCCTCTTGCTTCACTTGGCATTAAAATCTAGTTGCTTACATTAGTACAATAGAGCTTTAGTTCTGCTTTCATGCAACTAAGGAGTTTTCCTTTTCTGATGCTGAGATGCCACAAGGACCATGAACGCTGCCCTTGAACCTCCTGCTTTTGTGAGCAAGAGGCATAACAAGCCTATGCTTTGATGTTCAGGCAGAAAAGAAACATCAGCCATCCAGGCAGGAATCCTCCTTGCTAGCACACTATACTTTGTTATCTCTTAGCACCTGTGTAAACAATATTACTCTTTTAACCATATATTTTAATTATGTGAATGCTGTATGCATGTGTTACAACGTTTTAAGTTTGGAATCTACAAAAACTAGCCACTTTCTTTGTTCTCAGTTTTAGAGTCTTTTTGAGGGGGATTCTGCTGTTTTTTTCTGAACCCAGCTGATCAAGTTCCCACCCTGCAGGAATCCTCACTGTGCAGTGTAAGTGGCTTGCTGCTAAATGTTAATGGAAGTTTAGCGAGTTTGTTTGATATTATTGCAATAATAAATAATATCCTTCTTAGCAAACCTGGAGTTGGCATGTCACTTTCTGGGAATCCCCAAAAACCTTGTGCCCCCAGCCAGGGCAACACTCTCTTGAACATCCTTGCCTTCCAGCACCCTCTCCCAGGAGATTTCTCCCAGCCTGGCCTTTAACTGGCCATCATTTTATGGTCAATATTTTATTAGACTGTTCTAGGTGGTAGCTGTAATTATGTGATAGATTTTTAGTACTGTTTAGTGATTACAGCACACCAGAGGGTACCGCCAGGGAGCTGCTGCCAGTCTACATTTCCCCAACAGGATAGCTGTTTACATAGTACAAAAACCAGCTGTTGTCTCTTGCTGAAATTATGTTTCTCCCTGGGTTCCCTACTGCTAACAGCTCAGTCCAGGCTTTTGCCCTTCTTCTTGTCAAGATTCCAAAGTACAAAACACAGACAAACAAATCACACTCCACTCCACTCAACTGTGTCTCTGTTAGGCAGACAGTATGTTGGGCTCTTACAGACAAAGCTTTTATTGTGCAAACACCCTTTATTCATGTAATTTTAGGATGGGACTATCATCTTCTATCTGTAATTCACCTGTGTTTTCCCACCACTTCTTCCACCCTTTTTCTTTCCAGAATGAATCCATTGAAGACTGATACTATTGTATAAATTTCACTAGGGGGAGGACCTTTCTCTCTAGGAACCATTGTTTGTCCAGATTCTATAACAAGCACAATTACTTGATGAACTCTCAGAAGGTTATGCTGCTTCTGCTAAAGCATAAATTAGCACCACGTGAATTATCTTAGGCAAGCTTCAGGATCCCTTGCTTTCTCCATCCTTTCTATTTTCACACATACTGTACAGAGGAAAGCAGAGGTTTGGACTACAATAAACTATAGTTTAAAATTGATCTAGTTTGTACATAACATAGACTAATATTGGTTTGGTTGCACACCACTTCCACTTTCAATAACCACCCTCCAATCAGCCTGATCATATAATGTTGTGCGACGTGCAAAGCCAGTCCCATTGGGTTGTTTATGGGTTAAACAAGCCCAAATTTATAGGTTAATTTCGGGCTGCTTAAACTCATGAACAATCGAAAGACCTTGCTTGTTTGCAACAACAGCATTTGGTGGCAAACTAGGGGTTAATTAACCCACGATACACTTCTGGCTTCTGGCAACAAGCTATGAATGCTAAGCACGAGTTTTGGCCCTGTCGGCACAGCATAGCGGTCTGCATGGGCAGAGCTCCTCCCCTTGCAGGAAAGGGCTCTGAGTGTATTCATCAGTATGCACAGCCTTACACCAGCACCCCACCCATTCGTTTGAGGAGTGAAAGTGTCCATCAAAACGCTGCCTAAAGGGCTTGCACATGAGAAAAAGTGGAAGTGTGGGCTAAGTCTCCTTCCCTTTCCTCTCCCTCTGCCCCGTCTGAAGCACAGAGATAAGATTAGCCTTATTTTTTTACTGCTGCAAGCCAGCTTTATATCACATGATTTATTAACTGATTGAGATACTTGAGCATTTAAGCACATGCACAACACCTAAAAAAACACAGAACAGTGTGGTTAAAATTCTAACGCAAGAGGTGTCGATGCTCATGCAAACATGTAACCGTGGTGCATTAGTCCAAGTGTAGGCAGTGAGTGGGAGGGAGGTAACCATGCTTAGACAGTGGAAATAATAGTCTTCAAAACACTTTTTGGAAAAACAATCCAACTTGTTCCGGGGTCGATACTGAAGCCCCTGCAGAGATCCTACCAGAAGGAATGTATATTGATTACCAGAAATGAATGGTTCTAAACCCAAGGAATAAAAATCCCATTTTCTGCCTGCATTGGCAGCCATTTTCCAGTTCCCTGCCCAACTCCACTCCACCACATGGTTCCCCATAGTCCTGGGCTCAAAATTCTCCTTTTCCTCCAGCAAGTGCTCAGTCTTCTTTCCACTCTGGAACCAGGCTGGAGGGAAGATCATTGCAGCTGCTGAGCTTCAGGTGGGCTCAGAGGGCCTCTCATGAGAATACAGCACGACTGCTGCAGTGATCTGCCACCCCCTCGAGAAGATGGCTGGGGCGTGTCATTTGCAACTGCACGTCTGAGGTGTGCCGAACACTCCGGCAAGGGCTGCACGCACAATCCCACCTTCCCCTCACAGTTTGAGGAAAAGCATGAGGTCAGTGCTCAGGCCCCACCCTAGAGGGAAGAGAAGGTCCCGGTGATCGTGCGTGTTTGGCTGGCTCCCAAAGCCACCCGAAAACTTAGGAGTACCGCATTCCCACCCCCGTTTTCCGTCACTGGGCGTGTCCCGGCTCTCCGTCTGCTCTCGGGATCCTCCTCACGGCCACGGGGGGTGGGGGGGCATTCCTGCAGCCGGCCTCTCTGGCCCCCGCTTCGGAAGAAGTGGGCGAGGGGTGACCCTACATCATCCTATTGTCTTAACTGAGGAAAAATGATCAGGACCACACCCACTTTTCTGACAGATGGGACTGCTGGGCTACCGTCCCCGCCCTGTCTCCTGAGCCTGTCTTAAAGACCGGCACCCCTTCCCACCGCTTCCCCCACCCGGAGGGGTTCAGTCCCGTCCCCCACGGTGGGCATGGCCCAGCAGCCTGCTGCCCGCGAGGGGCACGCGAGGCCCCCGCCGCCGCCCGCAGTCTTGCATCCAGACGCCCCCTCCCCACTTCCCGGCCCCGGCCACGCCCCCCCCCGCCGCCCCAGCGCTCGCCGCCCGACGTCTCCCCCTTGGGGAGGAGCGGCCGCCCCCGCCCGCCCCCGAGTTCCCGCCGCAGACGTTCTCCTCCCCCCACGGGGGCCCCTCACCCACCTGCGGGCCGGAGACGCCCTCGCCCACGGCCAGCACGGTTCCGGCCGCCTCCATGCCGGGGCTAACGGGAGGCGGAGGGAGCCTCTCGTAGAGCCCCTGGCGGGCCAGGAGATCGGCGAAATTGAGTCCGCAGGCCCGGACCTGCACGCTGACTTGGCCGGCAGCCGGGCTGGGCTCCGCGCTGGGCAGCCGCCGCGTCTGCACCTTCACCTTCTCGTAGCCACCGAAGCCGGTCAGCACCAGCGCGCGGTACGGGCGGCCGGCAGGGGCGGCACCGGCGCTGGCAGCGGCGCCGGCCGCCTCGTCCTTCGGCGGCCCCTCGGCCGCCTTGCCCGCCTCCGCCGGCGCGGCTGCCTGAGCAGCCTCGGGCTGCTGCTGCGGCGGGTCTGCAGGTGGCACGGCGGAGCCGGCCGGTGGGGCGCCCACCTCGGCCCCGGCTGCTTCTTCCCCGGACATGGGAGCCGCGTCGGTGGCAGCGCTCGCTGAGGGTCCTGGCGGTGTGGCTGCGCGAGGAGAAGGCGCGGCTGGCAGATGCGCGAAACAGCTGGAGAGGGCGGCCGCCCGCAAGACCCGGAGCTGGAGCCGAGCGCGCGCCCGCCGAGCCCTCACTGCGGATGAGGAAAACCCGGAATTGCAAGAGGAGCCGAGTGCCTCCGCCGGCGCGTCCGACCCCCCTCCCCGCGCCTCCGCGTTCACGCCTGGAAGCGAGGCGGGGTGGGGACGGGGCTGGGTCTGCCTGGCTTACCCCGCGTGTCCTGAGCCTGGGACATGTTCCCTCCACGCGAAGTTTACTCGCAAGGGATGCACTTGAGACCACAAGCTAAAGCCTCGCTTGTTTTTTAAGTTACAGACGTTAATTTTTTAAAAAATTCTTGCTATCTTGATTGGGCCTTCTAAATCAGCGCGCATGATTTGCATGTATACGATTGCACTGTCGGCCTACACATCTCTCCTGGAAAGTAAGCCTTCCGGACTTAAGAGGTCCTTTATTCCTAATTAAGTGGGAGTAAGATTGCCTCCCCGCTTAACTCTCACACTTCTAATTTTCCCCCTTTCTTCTATCTCACAGGGAGGGGTTGCTCCTAGACAGTGTTTGATGGGCCGTAGGAGATTTTAGATCAAGTGTGGGAGTCAGTGCTCTTACTGAGGAACTAAGAGCTGGAGCTCCAGCCACCCTCTGTCTGGCAGGCGGCACAGAAGGAAGTGCGCCAGCTGCTCTGCGAGGTGGGAAAAACAGCCTTGGGGAGGAGACGAGAGAGGCGACAAAGGAGGCTTTCCAGTGCAAGGGACTGGAGAGGCCAGGATATGAGCTATTCCAAAGCTATTCCCTCCATCTCAAGAGTGCAGGACACAAGGACAGAAAGCCCTAAGCAGCTTGGGACCAGGATACTGGAAGGACCACCCGCCTGCTCCCATATGCACCTACCCTACCCCTAAGATCAGGTTTAGAAGGCCTCCTGAAGGAGCCATCCTCCAAGCAGGTAAGGAGGATGGCAAACGGAAGAGTGGCCTTCTCAGTGGTTGTGCCCCGGCTATGGAATAGCCTCCCTACAGCAGTTCACTTGGGGCCTTCTTTACCGCTTTTTAGCACCAGGAGAAAACAATTTTATTTTCCAGATATTTTAAGAATTGATTTCAATTCTATATAATTTATTAATTTTTAATTGAATTAAATGTTGGTGCGTTTTAGATTTTAATGTGTAGTGTTTTAATTTAGCTTATGATGACCCTGTGGATGCCTTCCAAAATGCCCTGCCCTTGACAACCCTGCTGAGTTCTTGTATTCTCACAAGGCAGAGCAGGAAGAATTTAAACTAAATGTTATGGAAATGCAGGTAAATGAAAAAGCCCAGAATTAAGAACAAAATATCAGGGCCAGGTACTATTATCTGAATAGTATAATTGAGTCTGGATCCAACCCAGAAAGTTAAGATTTTCTCTGTCTTCCTACTATATTTACAAATATTAATTTATTGGACTTGTTGCTTAATTCAGCACTTATTTGGTGTTGTGTGGAGCCCAAGAAACTCAATTGTGAGCTAAGAAGTGCATGGCTTGGATCTCACATCTGCCACAAACTCACAAGATCACAGCATTTTATTTCAGCTCTCCCAGCCTAGTGCTTCCATCTTTTCCAGTCAACATGACTATATTGCTTGGGAATGATGGGGGTTGTGGTTCAAAACATGAGGGTGCTCAGTTGGGGAAAGTGCCCTATTCAGGGCACTATACACCCTATACCCTATACACTCCATGCTGTAATCCATACATTATTCCCCAGTATTGTGAAGGTGATACTGTTGAACTGTCTTTATGTGGTAAAGACGATGGGGACAGAGTATGTCATGTATTGAAAACTCTCATCAAAAGGATAAGAGGTGACTAGCTGTCCTTCTCTGGTTGTAATAGCAGTCAAAAGGTCACAGAATATCCATTTGCATTGACAGTGTGTTGTTCCAAGAAGCTGGTAGATCATGTAAGAGAGCATGCACATCAATAGATAGTAAAACTATGCGAATATAAAGTTTATGCATATAATAGCCTCCTCCTCAATAACTCCCTATTGGGCATTGCCCAACCATATGATTAAAAGAAGCATCTGAAGAGTTACATCCACACCAAGTAGCCAATTTAGACAAATCCTTGTTAAAGAGATGTAGTAGAGTCCAATAAACACAGAACACAGACAAAGGTACAGTCTTTGCTGAAATACGTAACCTCAGCAAGTGCTTTCAGTAGTCAAAGACCATGAAGTCATGGAAATACCACTACTTCTGTATGCTGATTATGCTGTGTTACTATCACTTTCCAAAATTTGTTTAAATCATTTACTAGCTGCATTTGAAACTTAGAGCTCTGTGAATAGCCTGATCATTAATTATGAGTCTAAAGTTCTGCTGTTCTCTATAGCTATAAAACAATTTAAATGGACTTTAAATGGCAGTATCATTAAGCAAGTTTCTTATATAAAATATCTAGGAATTCAAATGCAAAGCACTAGGCTCTGGTCTGAACAAACATAGACAAGCAACTGAATCAGTAAACTTTAGTCAGCAGCAGATTTTTAGATTCTTTGCTTAGATTACTTTTTTTCAGTAGGGATTTCATCTGCTGAGTGCAAGGCATGTACTGAAGCCTTTAAATGGTGGCCATGTTTACATTTTCTAGCCGCTCCTGGTACCTGTCTCTAACTGCTTTCAGATATGTATGCGTAGTTAACTGACGGATGAAAGAAATGGACAAAAAGCTACATAGCAGGTTTCCCTGCAGAAGTGCTTAGGCAATTGTGGGGTAGAGAAGTCCCAATTTCTTGTTGTTCAAAGATTAATAGACCTGGATCAGCAATACTGAGAATCGTTGCTAATAAAACTTGTTCTTCACTATTTCATCTTAACTGTACTAACTGCTACAATGATGGATTTACTCCAGCCCCATATCTGTACACACTAACTATCCCAAATTATAGAAAAGCATTTACTCTTGCACATTTTAATATGTTACTGGCAGCATTATTAAAAGGAGAGTTTAACAAGACCCCAGTCAATGAATGGGTATGATGCTGGAGCTGTAGAAATAATGGAAAATGTTCTCTTGTATTGCAGCTTCCATAGAGAATGCAGAGAGAAATTGATTAAACTATTAATAACAGTTCATTATGGGAATAATTCTTCCATTCTGGTATCTATTTGTTTAAGCATGTATCCTCTTACGTTACTGGAAATGTTGCCAATTTTGTAGTGACTGCAATGCAGATTAGAAAAAATGTGATCACCCACTTGAGTGAAAATACTGTGTAAACTGTACTTGTTTTAACTGTGTTTTAAATTTTTCTACATCTATTTTATCTGTTTATTAATCTTTCTGGTCTGTGACCATAGGAAGATTATGGACTAGGACTAAGATGAAGTCAAAAAGGGAGCAGAAGCGAAGTGGAATCTAACAAAAAATGTGATTATAAATATTGCCTTTCATCTGTGGCAAATATTTGGCATGCCACAAAAGCATTTCTTTACCCTTAAATCTGGATTTCCCCTGCAGCCTATATAGTGTGTAGAAATAGATCAAACTGTAATTGATGTGAAATTGTATGTAGGTAGAACTCTATCCATTTTAATTCGCTGAGAACTTAATTCCATCCATTCAGAAAGGGGATCCAGGAAAGAAGATTCCAAAATTAAATGTGGGAATTCTAAGTAGGAAAGACCAAAATATAGTATAGGTTAACAACTGGCCTGAATCATATAAAGCAAGATCTGAAAAGTTTTAAAAATATTTTTCAGATATAACAGGCAAATACCATCTCTAACAGATAGCTTGAGAAATAGTCATTTCTAATGCATTAAGTTTGCCTTACAGACTCAGTTTTGGGGATGCCTATTTGTCCATAAGCCATGAGCTTTCTTCAGTTTCTTCAAATATAGCATAACCATTGGGGATATATCTCTAGAAATAGGTATTCCCAAATAAGTAATGAAATTCAGGCAATTCAAAACATTACTTTTGGGCACAAAAATGAAAAAATCTTCTGCAATGGCAAAGAAAATGATCCTGGATTATGTTTATCCTATTCCAAGGCTCACATCCTAAGCCTCGATGAAGTGGACTTACAGTAGCCCAGAAAAAAAAACCAAAGCACCTTTGAAATAGCAAGGCAAGACGGGCGGGGAAGTGTTTATACACATTTGCACAAAGAAACAAAGATTGGATAAGCATTCCAAAAACCAAGAAGGAGAGGTTTTCTGCCCGTCAAAACCATTACAGGCCTAATACTTCATCCCAAACTTTCTGTAGAGAGGAGGCCCATGACTCCTATATTATACTGACCCTAGGTGGATTCTTCAGAATCCAGAGGAAATGAAGGGACAGAGGTGGGCAGATGACTTCGCAGTTTCAAGGTTACAACATGAAGATGCTCAGAGCATGAGAATCATGAGACATTTCAGAAGAGGGATGGGTAGATTGGGATAGGGAGTCCCTAACTCCAACCATAACCCTGTAAGGAGATGATAGTTAAAGCAAGCAGACCAAGTACAAAATGTCCAGCATCCCTGCTGCCTAGAATCATGGAATAGTAGTCTTGGGAAGGTCCAGACAGCCACCAGGTCCAGCCTCCTGCCTAGTGCAGAACCCCAAGTTAAACCATCCTTCTCACTTGGCTGTCTAGTCATAATCTGAATGCCTCCAGTGTGGGAGAGCCCACAACCTCCCCAGGTCATTGGTTCCATTGTCATACTTCTCTAACAGTCAGGAAGTTCTTCCTGATGGAATTGGGCTTCCTGGAAGATGAGCCCATCATTCCATGTCCTGCACTCTGGAATGATCAAGAAGAGATCCTGGCTTTCTTCTCTGTGACAACCTTTCACATACTTACAAAGTACTATCATGCCTTCTCTCAGTCATCTCTTCTCAAGGTTTCACAAAGCCCAGTTCTTTCAATCTGTCCTCATAGTCCTTGGATCATCCTTGTTGTCCTCCTCTGTGTTTGCAGCTTTCATCAATTGTGATGCCCAGAATTGGACAAAGTACTCCATATGAGACCTAACCAGAGCTTAGTAAAGGGGAAGTAGTACTTTACATGATTTGGAAGTAATACTTCAATTAATGCAGCCCAAGATACCATTTGCCCTTTCTGCAGCCACATCACATTGTTGACTCATATTCAGCTCGTGATCTGCAACAATTCCAAGAGGCTTCTCAGTTGCACTATTGTTAAGTCAAGTACTCCCAATCTTTAACTATTAATTTAGGTCCCCCCATCCCCGGTGCCGATCTTGGCATTTGCTCTATTGAATCTCATTCTGTTGTTTACAGCCCAGAGTGCCAACCAATCAATATTGCTTTGAGTTTTGCTCCTGTCTTCCAGGTTGTTAAGCTATCCCACCCAGTTTTGTGACATCTGCAAATTTAATAATTGTTCCCTGCACTTCCTCATCCAAATCATTCATACAAATGTTGAACAGCACTGGGCTATGGTACCCAACCCGTGACCTCTTCCCAGTCTGAGAAGATGCCATTGATGAGCACTCTTTGGGTCTGATTCTGCAGCCAGTTGTGAATCCATCTGACACTTCCACCTAGCCCACGTTGAACTAGTAATTTGTAACCTGAAGGCCCACTGTATTTCTAAGATTTTGCCTAAGTTTGCTGGAGAGTGTAAGTGGGGTGGGGGGAAAAGTTTATTCCACTGACTAAATCTACAGAAAGCCCCTGCCCAAAACTCCTCTGAAATTCCAGAAAAATTAGAGCATTTCATACTCTTGTGTAGAGCGAAGAAAACTGGACTCCCACTACAAAATACACCTAGGATGGGTCCAAGCCATTACAAACCTCATATTTTAATCCTAAATTTCAATGAAACTAATCTACAGTCATTCTGAGATTCCAGCGATTCTACAAAACTTCAGAAAAATCAGGTTTCCCTCTTTTGCATGCAGAAAGAAAAATTGGGCTGGCACACCAGAACTAACTATGATGTGTAGAAGGAACCCAGAATTCCTTACAAAAGGAACCAACAGGTCTCTGAAATGGAAGAAAAATCAGCGTTTTCAGATATGGGATGGGATGTTTGCCTGGTCTAGCTCATTCTAGGCTTCTTACTTTCAATCTAAGCCTCAGCAGAATGAATAAAAATTCAGTCACTCACAACCCACCCAATCCTCTGAAATTGCAGGAAAAAAATGGTTTTTTTTCATACATTCACTTGCTGGAAAAAATGTTACTTTGATGTCCCTTAATTCCACCTAGATGTGTTTTCTGTCTTGTTCACGCCATTCACTGCTGTGTATTTTCGGTCTAAGACTTGGCAGAACAAGGCACCACTCTGAAGTTGAAAATAGATCAGGTATTTTCACATATTTCATACAGAGAAATAATTGAGTTCCCACCCTGAGTTACCTAGTATGAGGTATCTGACTATCTAGGCCTTGTGAAGTATAATATTTTCATCCTAAACCTTGGTAGAATGAACCTTCAGAAAAACAAAACCAAAGATTCTTTGGGATTTCAGAAAAATTAGGTATTTTCACATGTTTATATGCAGAGGGAAAAAATGGGTTGGAGTCTCAAAAGCAATTTTGGATTACTTTTCTGTGCTTTCCAGGCAATTCCAAACCTCCTATTCTCAGTTTAAGCATTGCTGAAATGATCCTGGAGTCGTTTATAATATAGGCACCAAAAATCTTTCAAAAGTGCAGAAAACTTGGATATTTTCCTTTGTGTTTTCAATTTGGCCATGACAGAATGAACCTGGATTTGTTCTCAGTAAGTAAATAAATAAATAAACAAACAAACAAAATCAAAAGCACTCCAAAATTGCAGTGTTTCATGCATTTGTAGGCAGAAAGAAAATTTGGTTTGGCATTCGAAAACCTACCCTGGATAGTATTCCCATACTATGCAGGACATCTGTACTTCATATTATCATTACAAACCTCAGTGGAATGAACTTGAAGTCATGCACAAAATACCCCCAAAGGTCCTCCAAAATTGCAGAAACTTATATACAGAGAGAAACATTGAAAGCCATGAAGTCTAGTTAGGATGCATTTCAAGCATCGTGTTTTCATCTTAAATGGTGGAATGACGTACAGCTGTCCACAAAAAAACCAAAAATCCTCCCAAGTTGCAGATTGGATATACACATTCTCATCTAAAATTAGCATGCCATTATACTGCATGGATTACGGAGTACATGTTGATTGGTTCATGTACCACAGAACAATAAAAAATACAGTTGCGTACAGGAATATATTAGTAGCTGTGGGGCACATACAGTTCTGAAAATACTTTTCTTTATAGTGGAAAACTGTGGAGAAGAACAGTTACCCAGTGCATAATGGTGTGGTGGTAAGCGGCTAACCAAGTCCAGACTGGAGTCCATATTCTGTTCCAGCCTCGTGGCAGCCCTTGCTTGCTGTAATGAACACAACCCCCAAGGAGCCCAGCCATGACTGCCATGGCTGTGGGATATAGAAGCTGCGGTCAAGCACATTTAGCACGCTTGAGTTTGGGAAAGGATGCATGGCTGCTACCAAACACTGGGCCTCTCCTGATTTCATGTGTTCACACCAGCGTTCCTTCAGGACTCTTGCTGCCACTGAATTTTGTCTGCACTGGCACTGATTCATACCTTGACTTCAGCCTCCCCCAGCCTTTTTCCCTCCAGATATTTTGGACTTCATCTCCCATCAGCCCCAGCCAGCAGAGCCAATGGTCAGAAATACTGGGAGTTGTAGTCCCAAGCATATGGAGGGAAACAGGGAAGACTGTTAATTGACTCTTATTGAATTACCAGGGATTAAACCCCAGCCAGTAAACTTACTCTGAGTAGACACTGCTGGAATCAAACCATAAATATATTTTAGACTCACCTGTCAGAATTATAATTGTTTCCTCATCCCCAACCTAACCCTCCCTCCTTTTCCAAAATCTTGGAAGAGGGTCACCTGTCCCAAAAGATACCTTTTCCTAGGAGAAAACACCTAATAGAAAAGTGACATTTAAGGCAGTGGATGAAAAGGCAATGTTTCTTTCTTTGAAACATTTTAGGTATCTTTCTTTCAGTATGGCTTTGGCGTCTATATCCTGGGGTTGACATCTCTCCTACCCACCCTCTAAAAATAATTGCAATTTGTTGCAAAGTAAAAGGGAAGAAAGAGCGCTGTCTTTCTAGCAGTTTCTTAATTTCAGCAAAGCATTTTAAGAAAATTAATTCAAGGAGTAAAATACAGGAAGATGGCTACTCAGGGAAGGGTCTTCTCAGTTGTGGCACCTTATGGAACTCACTCTCCTTAGGAATACACCTGGCATTGATGTTATACAACTTCTTGCACCAGGCAAAAACATTTTTGTTTTTCCAGAATTTTAATTGTTAAGTGATGTATTTTTAAAAATTATTATAATTGTTTCATGTACTTGCCTGGTCACTGTTTATTTAAGCTATTATTTTTAGTTGTTTATGTTTATTTTCCTTTTATTATTTACTTATTTTTGTTCTTGTTGATTGGCTCAGGTGTGGGACTGCTGAAATGTATTGTTATTGTAATGATAGTTTTGCTATTTTATTATATTGTATTTTTAATTTAACCTTATTTCTAATCTTGTAAACCATTCTGAGAGCCAAATTGGCTATGGAGGACGGTAAGAAGCTGTATAAATAAATAAATAAATAAATAAATGAATGAATGAATGAATGAATGAATGAATGAATGTATGTATGTATGTATGTATGTTTAAAAAGTGAAATTTGAAGAAAAATGAAGTTTTTAGCAAGAAATTTTCATGTTCTCCTAAGTCTGACGGGAAAAATAATCCGGAGCGCAAGGGGGGGGGTCGTCAAAGAGCGCAATTCTATGCATGGCTAGACAGGAAAACAAGTCCTCCAATTCCCAGCATGCCCTAGCCAGCATGGCTACCTGGAAGTATGCTGGGAATTGGAGGACTTTTTTTTCCTAAACCGTGTAACAATTACATAGGCTTGATTGCGTCCCAAGAGGACGAACTTTTGTCTCGCTGGATAAAGTAGCTACTAGCTTTACAAGGGTCTTTAGAGGGAGAATGCCGAGTTTAGGGTCGGGGCGGCTCGCCTTCCTGGGAGGAGAGTCCCCGAGGCCGGTCTCAGCAGTGGGGCCACACTCGCCGCAGCCCTCGCGTCCCGCAGACGCCAATTCTTCCGCAGGTCAGAAGACCCCTTAAGCGCCGGCCCGGAAGGATGGGAAGAAAGCGGCCAGCAGCGCCCCTCCAGGCGACGGGGCGCACTGCCGGACGCTCCAGGACCGCTGGCGAGGGGGCTCCGGAGGGTGGAGCGGGGGTGCGGCTTCGGGAGCCGGAAAACAGCGGCGGGAGCCGGGCTCTGCGAGTGGAGCGCCCGCGGCCGAGCGATGCTGTCGCGTCGGGGCTGAGAGGCAGCGCGTCGTCTGTGCGCGGCTCGGGCAGTCTGTCGCGCGGGCGTCATGGAGAACCAGCTGGCGCGCTGCAAGATCGTGGTGGTCGGTGACAGTCAGTGCGGCAAGACGGCGCTGCTCCACGTCTTCGCCAAGGACGCCTACCCCGAGGTAGGGGCAGCTCGGGCAGCCGGGGAAAGTCGGGGCATCGCAGGAAGAGCGCGCAGGCAGCCCTGCGGCGGGGGAGCCGGGCGCCTCGAAGGACGGTCTGGGGCGCTTGGGCAGAGCCGCGAGCAGCCCCGGCGAGAGGACCAGGCGCACGCCCGAGGGGGTGGGAATGGGCGCCGACGGCGGGGCGCCGGAGCGAGGACTCGGGGCTGGGAAGGTCATGCTGTAGCCCGGGAAGGGAAGCTGTGGAGGTGCGCAGGCAGCCCTAGGAACGGGGGTGGAGTGCCGGGCTGCTGCAGTGGAGGGGAGAGGCTGTGGAGCGCTGTCGTGGGGGAGAGGGCTGCTGGCAGGGAGGAGGCATGTGGTGGAAACGACCTTCCCGGGATGCCCTGCTTTAGGGGTGCAGGGACTGGGGAGTTGGGACCCGGGAGCGGGTGCACCGCCGTTGCTTCTTGCAGATCCAGTCCTGAAGTCGGAGCAGCTTCAGAGCTGTATTGTGGGAGACTGTGGAACTGGGGAGGCCAGGGAGAGGGAGGGAGGGCGCGGGTGCATGACGAGGCAGGGTGCGTATGGCCCTGGGAGCAAAGAGGCGTTGCGGGGCTGCGGGGGATGTTTGTGCAGGGGCGAGGTTCAAGGGACTTAATGTTGAAGTAGCAGCCTGGAGTGGAGGGGCAGGACAGGACGATTTAGGGGGGGATTTGAGGAAGATGGGGAAGCTTGAGGGGATGATGAGAGAGAGAGAGAGAGATTCTGGCAGGGGGAAACTAGAAGAAGCCTGGCTGAGGATGGCAAATTAGTACTCAGGGGTTTTCAAGGCCTCAGAGCCCAAGTGCCTCTGAGCATGTGCAAAGTTCCTCTTGATTGCTATTAAGTAAACACAACCAGGGCCAGCACATACCAGTATAGAAGGAAAGGGATTCAAGGAAGACCCGAGCCCCTGGAATACTCATTCTAAGAAAGCGAGAATATCTCCTTCCCAGTGAACACTACATCTCACTCCAGTTTCATGCATTATGTTGTCTCCCACTGCCCCTCCCCTGCAGAACTATGTCCCCACTGTGTTTGAGAACTACACTGCCAGTTTTGAGATTGACAAGCAGCGCATTGAACTTAACATGTGGGACACTTCAGGTAAGTGGGGGGAAAGGGAGAGCACACACCTTGGGAGGACCTGTGGACCTGGACAGAAACTGCCCTATGACTGCTCTCAGGGGTCGCAGTTGGATGGATTCTGCCTGGGGAGGTTGAAGAGGTTTTGTGATGCTTCTTCTTATTCAAATGTGTATATCCTCAGTATACAGGAGAGGAGGAAGGCTAAGTGATTCAAGAAGGGTTGTCAAAAAAGATATTTGATTTATTAAACCAATATATTTTTCCCTAAAAGGTTGGAATTAGCTGGTTAGGAAGAAATGGACTTTGCACGTGTTCAGAAATACTCCCCTTTCTTTTTAGTTATAATAGCACATAAGCTAAGTATTTGTCACACTTTCCATCTTGTTTCCACTGCTGCAAAAGATCCTTAGGTCTCCCCTTCTCTCTTAGCCCCCGGAAAAGTAGCCCATATTGACACTAGTGTGTTTTTCAGTATTTTATGCTTTTTACTTAGTTTTATGCTTTTTACTTAGCTTCTTTTTATGCAAAAAGAAGAAAAGTATATGTAAAATAAAGTAAAATAGAATAAAGTTGCCAAGGGATTTTAAACAAATACAACCAATACATTCAAACCCACAAATTTATCTATCTTTTTGTCATTCAGTGCTCTATGGGAGTTCAGGGCTTTTTTGTTACATGAAGTCTTGGATGTTTTCACTTCAGGCCTGTCCAGAAATCATGCCCTGTGCTGAGGAAAATCTTTTCCTCATAATCTGAGATGCAATATTGGAAAGGCATTGTACAAGTGCTCTTTCTTATGATTTTGTTTCTTTCAGAATTTAGTCCAGGTTCTTGAATTCCGATACTGAATTCAATATCAATATATTAGTAAAATCAGACCCTTTGTTTTTGGATGCTGGCTTTAGGTAGCTGGTGCCGAGGAAATTGTTTTCTGCATATGTTCAAAGTATACTTGTTCTGGTGAGAGCCTAGTGCTGGCCTCAAATCCCACCTGACATGAAGCTGTTTATTATTACTAGAATGCTGCAAATGGATCTCTTTGGGTTCACCCTGAAACAGTGTTGGCCATGCAGGGGAAGCTGGCCCCCCCTTACCATTTCTGCTGGTCTTCTTGGCCTTAGCTACTGGAAGGAGCATGATTTTTTAGGATGCATGATTTCACTGCAATTTTATTAAGGCCTCCTCATGTCTCCGGCTCATCTCAACTCTCAGTCCCAACACTGTCATAATATTTTCTCCACTCTGTGCCTTTGTGTGCTGCTTCCTACTAGTACCTGATTAGGTACGGAAGGTACAGAATGAATTCTGAGATTCTGGGTGAGTTCAGGAAAGAATAAAGCAGAAATCTGAGCCACTATTCCATGTGTAGCCTTACCCCTGGGAGGAATGTAGGCAGGAAGGCTCAAATCCTCCTTTTCTTACATGCAAAAAGAAACCACTTACTTTTGTCCAGGATTTTGGCAGCAGCTCTCCAAAGACCATGCTTGGTCTCAGTCTTGTTGCCTTTTCACATGTTTCCTTCTATTTTTTAAACCCCAAGCCTTCCACATGTTGAAAAACCTGTCACACTGAGGCCTGGATAAGTTGCTTCAGCCCATGATAATGTAAGGGATAAACGTTGCTGATTCTGAGTGCAGGAGAAGGATCATCTGAATTGCTGGCACTTCCTTTTTCTGTCTCAGCTTTAGCTTTGCATTCATTAACTTTACAGCATCGTGATTGGCATAGTCAATCCATTCCCTTGGCAAAGCATCTATCTTCTGCTTTGTTGGATTGGGCAAAGGGCTCTGTTGTGTATGGTGCAGCTGTGGCAAAACTATTGGAGGCTTCTTGGGAGGCTGCAGAAAGGCTCTTCTGTTTGATTAGAGCGGGGAAAAGCCTGCGGGAGGGGGAAGCAAGCAAAAAGTTCTCCTGCTATGGGAAGCCAGAGTGGTACACAAAATGATTGCAAAGCTTCAGCATTTTCTAGCATTGAACAGGACACAAGCTTTGACCAAAGCTGGGACACATTCAGTGGCTACAAAGATTTGGCACGCTGTCACATTGCTTAGTAATGATAGTGGATTCGGCTAAACATGCAACCCCTTGTTGGTGAATGGGTCTAGCAGTGTTTATTAGCCATACAAGCTAATGACTGAAAACCATGCTTAGCAATAAGATGATACTTGTGCTTCCCAGCTGTTAGGAGTGAGCCACTGAGCCCTGTGCGTGAACTTCACTGGCGGCATCTGGTGGACCAGTGTCGGGCAGGGGCTCGGATCCAGAGAGCTGCTTCAGCTTGCACAAAAGGGCTTGTGCTGGCCCAGTGGAAAGGATACCAAGGCCACATTCCATGCCACAAGATGCTTTTGGAATGAGCTCCCATTTCTAATGCAGCAGCTGGCCATGTAGCCTGAAAGGGGCTGCACGTGGTAAAGCAATGCTAAGCCCTCCCACCACATCCCTTGCTTAAAAACTAATGTCATGGCCATGGTTAGAGTGATACAAACTTTCTGTTTTCATGTGCTTGAATTCTTTGTGACCTTGCCGATGCTTGACCTGGAGAGCACCTTTAACTGGTTCCAATCTGCAGAAAAGCCGCGAAACCCCTCCAGTTGTAAACCTTGTTGATAGAGAGAAATTGACAAGGATGGGGTCTAAGACAGTGATGGGCATCTGCCTGCTTGTCCGTCCATTGTTAAGGTAACTGTGGAATGTGGTAAAGAAGCCTGTCCTACCCTCAAGGACTAACAATGCGCAGAAGGAAAGAGAAAGTTTAGATGGGGAGAGTTCAAGATGACCAATGCTTGACAGGTGACTTTTAAAGGCATAAAAGCTTCTGAATTGTTCGTAATAGCACCAGTCTCTTTTGGAAGAACAGGCTGCTCTGCACTGTTGTGCGCCCACTTCAGGAAAGAGCTTTTCTGGTAGACCTTGCTGGTAGGGTTGCGGGGGGTGGGGTTGGCTTCTTGAGGTTAGACAAATGAACCTGGCTGATGGGAGGTTAAAATCCCTGACCATTGTTTTAGGCCAGATGGTCTGATCTAATGCTTTTGGTTTGCTCAGAACAGTTACCTACTGGAATTTGAACAGTTGGGATGGGAGGTGATCTGGCTAAAGCAAGTGGCTGAGAGAACTCCTGACCACAGAAACTACAAAGAAAAGTGGGTGTTACTTCTGAATTGATTGCCCTGCAGAAATGTTTTGTCATCCTGATTTTGCATTTGAAGTTGCTATTCTAGTTCTCTATTTTAAAAGATTCTCAGATACAATTACTTCTTTATCTTGCAGCTGTTCTAAAGCTAGCAGCAAAATTGAAATAGGTGTAATGCTGTAACACATTCAAAAATAGGGAAGCTGGGTTGGTCCATGAGGAAAAATGTCTAAAATTCACAGGTGGACAATGTTTTATTAGGCCAAAACGCCACAAAATCATGCTTTAGTTTTTGATGCTTTAGTATCAGAGCTCTTCAGCAGGTGAAAAAACAGAAGATAGAGGGAAAAACAAAGTTTAAAAAATTAGCCATGAGGTCTGCAGTTTTAGATGGATCCAGTTTCAAGATTGGGACTTGTAGTCTGAATGAATTCGCCAAGGGTTAGAAATTGCAAGCATCAGATTACACTTAACAAGGCATTTTGGGAAGCAGTGGCAATGGCTGATGTCCACTTCAAAAACACAAAAAGTGGATGCAACTTCAGCCTGTTACTTGCCTTTGACAAAATACACAGGTTCCCAAAATGGCATAGAGCAGAAGTGCAGAGAAATAGGGGGTCTGGAGCTAGTTTTTTGATATTATATGTACCCTTGAGTTTAAGTATTTCTTTCCAGGAATGTTCTGTGCCCTCATTTCTCAGTTAGATGCACTGGATCTCTGGTCTGCCCTGAAGCTTTTTCTTAACTCTCTAATCCTTGATAATGAAGGGGTTGGTTCTTGCTACTGGTTAGGAAAAAGCCCTCTGCTCATATCCACTCCTGTTACTTCACATATTCCTCATAATCGCATTTATTTCAGGGCTCATCTCATGCTTAAAACACACAACAAATCTACTTGTCTTCTGTTGCACTACTACTCCCGTAGTTGCTCTCTAAAAGAAAAAGGCTTGGATGTCATTGTTACAGAAGAGAGTAATTTAAATCTTAATCTACTTGCTGAAAGGATAAATGTTAACATGCTGTGACTTGTGCTGATGTAGTATGACTCTCCACCTCATCATCCTGGAATATTTTCTCATGAAGAGTGCAATTTGGAAAATATACATGACAATCTTGCTGGCCGTGAATGAACTGCACCTTGCAGTTTCCTGGCAGCACCCAAGCTGCTTTAAAGTAAGAGGGAAGCCAACTGCATTGTGTTAAGGGGTGGATTGTCGGCAACATTCTCCTGGTAGTGGTAGTTTATTGTTTAGGAGGGCACCAGGCTAATTTTAGGGTTCAAAGCTAGACTGTTGCTCAAGATATCGCGTATTGGAACACATGGCACTGAAAGGGCGATCTGAATGAGTGCATGCGCAAGAGGACTGCCTCCTGATCAGGAAGCGATGCGATGTGGAGGCCCCAGATGTGCTGTAGGGTGTGCAGTATTACCTATTTCATTTCTGAACCACTGGTAGCCAGAGCTCTCTGGGCGGAGTAAACATCCTCATCGTGCTACTGTGTCAGTCAGGACTCAGAGGACCAAATTCAGTTTCCTCTGCTGCACTAGGAGGGATTGAAATTTAAGAAACAAATGAGAGAAACTTTGATGCAAACTCAGAAGGCTGGGAGCTGAAAGTAAACTGACTCGCCTGCTCCACTCTGTGAGAACGTATTTTGTATTGCACTTCATTCTTGCTATTTAGGTGGCTGTACACAGTGCCTTTCAGGGTAAAATATTAAAAGGATTAGGATCTGCCCAAGGAGTTTGCAGAAAATCCAACAGTAGAGGGGGCAAAAGGAAAGGTGAACCTAACAATGTAGAGAAGTGAGACAAATTTTATTTGTTTCAACTGGGAAAAAGTTGGAGACTAAAGGGTTAAGCTAAAGATGCCCTGGAAAGGAC